GTCACATTCAAGCAATGTGCGCCTGATGACACTCGGTGGACCTCTAGTACAGATTTGCAGACTTCTGCACCCCTTATCTTCGCCGACTATGAGAAGCGACGCCTTGGTAAGGAAGCAGCTCGTCCCGCCCGACCCACCCGGGTATCGGACAGACAACTTCGCCCTCGCAGGTAGCTCGGTCTTTTAAGAGGGGGAGTGTGTTACATCTTCGACGCCACACGGGTCCTACCGGACCCGACTTAGGGTTAGAGGGACACAGTAGGGCCTAAAGGCCCGACCTTGGGGGTACTACAGGCCGTAAAGGCCTCACTTTGGACCAGACCCGACGGGCACGCCCAAACGACATTACCGTTTGGGCCTGGCGGCGCTCTTGAGGCTGCCGCCCGCCGGTTGGGGCTGAACCGTCCATCTTGAGGGTTCAGCGCACGGCCAGGCCTCGCAGCATTGAGGCCGGCCTCTGCCCCACCGGTACAAAAGTACCGGTCCAGCCTCATTCAGGCTATCGACCCACCGGCACTCTAACGGTGCGGTATGGTACGACGCGAACAGCGCTGGCGCTATACTTAGCGCAGGAGCACGAGGAGCGGCAGCGGCAGCGGTAGCGCAGCAGCGGCAGCGAGCAGAGCAGCAGCAGTGGCGACTGAGCAGGATCAGCGGCCATAGCCGCCTGAGGTATCGGGAGTCGGAGGTTCTCTCCTCCCTCCCCTCGCCAGTCCCCTCTCTCTCTCTCTCTCCTCCTCGGCTCCCTTCTTCTTCTTCTTCTTCTCTTCAGACTCCATTTTCTTCTTCTTCTTCTTCTTCTTCTTCTTCTTCTTCTTCTTCTTCTTCTTCTTCTTCTTCAGACTGGAGACTTATACTAGTTGGACAGAGATCAGAGTTGGACTTCGGTGGTAAGAGGCTGTGGTACTTACCGGGTTCGAGACTTGGAGATTGTTGGGGATGATACTCGGCTGCGTCACAGATTTGACACCGGTTACATTAGGACTCTGGATCTCCGACATTGGTGACTTATTGTCCTCGACATTTAGATCTTGTTCGATGACATTTTGGATTACCATATCGGTGACCTACTGGTTTCTATCTCGGTGACATTTGGTGCTACCTACATCTCCCACCTCCTTCGTCTCTCCTCCCACCTTCATCTGTGCATGTGTGTACGGAGCTGAGCATCGTCCATGTATGGCTCAGACCCCACCATCTCACGATTGTATGTGTGTGGAGTGATACCTATGTGAGTCAGTCTATGTGAGTCAGTCCGTTTATCAGACTTCCGCTGCATATATGCTCATCCTACATCGGTTGATCTTTGGTTCTGCCCATACTCATTGAAGTATGTAACAGCCAGGCACGCAGACCAGCAAGGACGCACACACAAACAGACTTAGAAAACTCAGCAGAACGCGGGAATCTCAGCAAGGCATTCATTTCAGCGGCAAACACTCAAATGAAAGGATTTCACGCTGCAGACCCCTGAAAGTCGGCCCTAACCCCCCGGAAGTCCAGAAAGGTCCCATCTCCCAAGTCCCATCTTCACGTAGTGTGGGTCTGTTAGGCCAGTTCAAGGGATCATAGGCCTAAGGTCAAGAAGCATCTGGAAACGTTAGGTTGAGGGTGGTTGACTTGCCAATCATAGCACAGAAATCAGCACGGTTCTCAGTCTGTTTTTTTTTTTTTTTTTTTTTTTTTGAAACACAAAGGCCCCATCTACTCTGGGGGGCAGCAGTCCGGTTGCTTATCACAGGCAAGCATGAGGGAACCAAATTTTTGAGGTGGGACGGGTCATTACATGGGAAGTTATTTATTTAATTGTTAGTTGAGAGGGGAAGGGTGTTGGGCGAGGGGTGGAGAGGGTTGAGGTTGTGCCTGCACCTTGCTGCTGGATCTGTATCTGAGTGTCCTGTTTTTTTTTTTTTTCTTCAATAATTTATTAAATTTTATTTTTTATTTGACCATATTCTTAATTCAGCAAAACCCAACAAGGAAATTAATTTGGCAAACAAAACATTGGTTTCATTGAGGTTGTTGGCAAAATTGTCTTTTTCTTTTTTGTTTGTCTTTGTGGTATAATGATCCCATGTGTCACAGGTGGGTTGCAAACAAAGTTGGTCAATCTCGTAGACGTAAGTTGGTCTCATTGCATGCACCTTTCCCTTTCCCTTTTCTACTTTAAGTTCTGATGTTGATTAGTTTTCTTGCATCCTGCCCCCTCCCTCCACCCCACTTTCTCACATTCTCTCTCTCTCTCTCTCTCTCTCTCTCTCTCTCTCTCTCTCTCTCTCTCTCTCTCTCTCTCTCTCTCTCTCTCCCTACCTACCTATCTATCTATCTATCTATCTCTTCCTCTCTCTGTGCAGTGTAGTCAATTTGACTTTGGCTGTTGCATGGGGACTCGGATGCATAGTTGCACGGAGCCATCCTCTCCATCCCTCTCCGTCCTCCTGACTTCTTCTTCTTCTTCTTCTTCTTCTTCTTCTTCTTCTTCTTCTCCTGACTTCTTCTTCTTCTTCTTCTTCTTCTTCTTCTTCTTCTTCTTCTTCTTCATCTTCTTCTTCTTCTTCTTCCTTCATTCCTTCCTTCCTTCCTTCCCGCCTTCTTCCTTCTCCATCCTTCTTTGTCATCCTCGTTTTCCTCCTTCCCGTCCTTGTCCCCATCCTCCTCCTCCCAGGCAGCTTAGCCGTTTGGTTGAGCGGTTCAACTCCCATGTGAGAGGTCACTTGTCCAATTCTTGGGATCGGATCGTGGAGGCATTCACTTTTTGCTATCATAGCAACCGGCAGTGAGGTTGTACATTGCCTGGTGGCTGCGCCGACGGCCTGTGTTAGAGTGTGAGTGTGACTGGGTACACTGGGACGCGGAGAAACCTGTGCTGGGGTGGGCTTAACTACTTATCTCTTGGGGGCCTTGGGGCTTAACTTTGACACCTGTCAGCTTAGCCGTTAGGTTGACTGTCGAACCGCCGTGTGGGAGGCTGCGTGTCCGATTCTTGGGATTGGCTCCTGGAGGCATTCAATTCAATTGTTCCTTTTCTTCTTTTTCCTTCATCCTTCTCCCGCCTTCTCCCACCTCCTCTTCCTCCTCCTTTTCCGCCTCCCGCTCCACTTCCTCCTCCCCCTCCCCTCCACTTCCTCCACTTCCTCTTCTTCTTCTTCTTCTTCTTCTTCTTCTTCTTCTTCTTTGTTTTCTATCTCCTCCCCCTCTTCTTTGCGTCTCTGTTTCTGATTTCTAAAATGAGATGTTCAGTGTTTTAAAAGTTTTGGTAATCCTACTGAAGGGATTTGTGCAATTTCTTGAACTTCGTTTTCTCCTCGCTTGCCTTTAATTGTTAGCTACCACTATCTCTTTGTATAGAATGATTTGCATGTGTACATTCTTTATATGTTGGGGAGATTTCTTTTAACCTGTAATTACTGCCTTCTCTGCAGAGTCTGCACACATCCACCGCAACATTCCAAAACGAACACACGGAATTACATCCTCTTGTATGGAGAAGGAAACTTTGGTAAAGACATCGGAATGGGACTTAGAAAACGTTCATGCATTCAGCCTCCTGATCAGTCGGTGAAACTCCGACGAAACAGTTTGTCACGGCCCCTTATTTGTTGTGCTCTTCTCCCTCTCTGCCCATGGTTTGCCGGGCAGTTCTGTTTGACGGTATATATATCGTCAAACAGAACTTCCCAGTAAAACATGGGCAGACAGGGAGAAGAGGACAACATATATCGTCAAACAAATATGACGATATATATATATCGTCATATATATATATATATATATAGCGTGCAAGTTGACTGTTATGGCATACGGGGATGGGGGCAGCTCGCGCTCAACTTCATCAACGTGGCGAGCCTTGCACGTGAGAGGCACAGTGGAGGTGG